CGAGGCGCGTTGTTCGTTCGAGGGGTTTATCATGAAAGAGGCGGACCAGAAATGGTTCTTTAAATTTCGAGAGGTTGGAAGACACACGGTGGTGCTAGTGCTATAAATTAGCAAACCCACTTGTACCACGACCTTCCTCAACGCTGGATACATTACCTAAAGGGAACTACGTCTATAACTTTGTATGTAAACTTTGAAGGAAGAAACTTGAGATATGAACCCCTATTTTCTATTTTCTGCGTCACTGTCGTATGGGAATTTGCATTCGTTGCGCGATAACTGGATAAATGGATCGTTGCACGGTACCAATTGCTCGATACCTGTGCAGCCAGCTTCGAAATCGATAATTGGGAAACAAATTAACGCGGTGATATGACAGAACGAGGCAGCTGTAATTTCGGACAACGGCCAGAGTTCCGATTATACCGTGTCCTGTTGGAAAAAATGAGCGTCGATGAATGTACGACAGAGGGAACACGCCATAAACTTGATCGTTTAATGAACGCGTTCCACGATCCGCGCTGCGAGTATTAAATTCCTCAGCGTCTATGTCATTAATTTCTCTCGTATTGTCAATATTTCGTGAGCAATAAATGGAAAGTGAAATGGGACGTTTGAATTAAAGCGATTATTAAATTATCGGGAAACGGAAGCTCTCGATCCGTTATAAAGAGCGTTTTACCAGCGAGCTGCCGGTGCCTGACCAATATTTGTAGCGCTACAAAAGGATCCGAGGAAGATGTTCAAACAATGAGCTCCGAGGGGCGTGCGAACGCGCGAAATTGACTTCGCGAGAAGCTTTCGCCAAGTTTCGGGTCACCTATGCGCTACTTGCTCATCTGAGTAGACAGGAGCAAGCATCGCGGAGTGGAGAGAGGTCGAGGAAAAGGATGGCGAATACACAGAAATTAACGCATTAGACGAGGATGGAATATTAATTTGCTGACCTGGAAATATTTAATCCCCAACTATTAGCGAGCAATTTGGCTCTACGGAATGTTACCCTTCGAGTTCTGCACTCTTAGGAAATATCCAACGTGCAGGGTATCTCGTCTACTACTACGAGTCGAGAGTACCCGATATCTGCCACGCTTTGGAGAACCGAGAAAAAGAAAAAGACATATTTTTCGGCCTCGTAGGAACGCATCCGTCGATGTGCAAAAGGAAAGCCTAGATATTATTTTCAATTCTGGAGAAATTGAGATGCCGGAGGCAATGGGGGCCTGGTTTATGTCATTACGACCAGCGTTTAGGTTAGGTCCTGGAAAAAGCAGTTCCTTCGCGATTACAGTGCGGGACAGACACCGTGTCCTCTGTACCAGCCCCCCTCGCGCAATAAAGCTTGCATTAACACGAAATAGTGCCTTTATTTTTTAATCCTTTCTCTGGGAAGTTCTCAGAAATGAATTATTCTCTGAGCAGCCGATATGACAGTGGGAAATCGACACGATCGACACAGTGTTCGTTAGAAACTGATAGGAACATACAGAAAGGTTCCAACTGTTCGCTCGGAGGGAGCAACTCTGGCTGAATGCCTAAAGGCGCTGTTCGCAGCGAAAGGGTTAATACCCCCGATGATATTCAACTCCCAACATTCAGCCTTCAGTCTTT